TTTTTAGTCTGTGAATTTCTTTTTGAGTTTAATGTATTTCTTGGATACAGCATGCCATTGGATTTTGCTTCTAGATGCATTCTTCCAGTCTGTGTCTTTTGAGGAACTGAAACCATTCACAGTGAAAGTTATTACTGATATTGACTTGTTCCTGTTATAGCATTATTTTACTGTTGCTTTTTCCTGTCTTTCCCTTCTACTTAATTTCTCATCCTACCTCGTGCATTCATTCATTTGACCTTTTGACATTTAAACTTTCACTGTCTCTAGAATATCCTTGAGAATTTTTTGTAGTGCTGGTTTGGTGGTCATATATTTCTTCAAGTACTCTTTATCATGGAGCTATTTTATTTCCTCATCCATTTTGAAAGATAATTTTGCAAGATATATCAGTCTGGGTTGGAACTTCTTTTGTTTTAAGGCGGAAAGACTTCACTACAAGTTCTCCTGGACTTTGAGGCTTGTGTTGAAAAGTCTGCTGTAATTCTCATGGGCTTTCCTTTGTAAGTGATTCATCACTTTTCTCTAACAACTTTTAAGATTCTCTTCTTATGTTGGACTTCTAGGATTTTTACTGTGATGTTTCATGGAATGGTTCTTTTCTGATGGTGACTCTTTAAAGTTCTGTATGCTTCATATATCTGTGTGTTAAGTTGTTTTCCCATATTTGGAATGTTTCCTACTATTACTTCTGTAAACAGGTTTTTTATATTTGTGCTGTTTTGTGATTTTTCACTAATTCTAGTTAAGCTTAGATTGGTCTTCTTCATGGCATCTAGAAGCTACTAGATCCGTTTTTCACATTCTCTTATTGTTTTTAAGGTATTTCTCAATAATCAATCACTGACCACAGCCCTATTTCTAGTTCTGACACTCTGTCCTCACTTTGGTTCTGCTACCCACACTTTCAGAATTTTTAATCTCCTCAATTTCTCTTTGGTACCTTTTCACAGATTCTAATTTTTTTATGCTGGACATCCATGTTTTGTGTTTCTTTGTTTGCTCAACTTGCTTTTTATTGCTGTCTTCTGTAGATTCACTGATCGTTTTATTAGGATCATTATCTGTTTAGTTAAATCTTCTTTGGATTCACCAAGCACCGTATTAATCTGTTTTGTTATCTCCACTGTTATCTTTTCAAATAATTCAATTGTGTGACTTTTGATCTTCTCCCCCACAGTGCTCTCTTCATTAGTTTGGGGGGAGTTAGGTGTTTGGGGGGCATTTTGTTGCTTTGTCTTCTCATGTTGCTGAGGGTTTTTTTTTTCTGTTTATTTCCTGTGGTAAGGCTTGCAGGTTGATTATAGCTGAAGACTTTGCTGCTAGTATGGAGATTCTTTAGTTAGTGTGTTTTCAGTGACACACTCTGGCCATCATTAACTGTAGGCCTTTGCTTCTGTCCCAAGATCTCCCCACCTCTATTTATTTGGGAGAGAAGGCTGAAGTGTACTTTGGCTCAGTACCCATTTATCCAGAAATTAGCCATAGCATTGTTAATGTCATGAAGGCAATCCAGGTATTGGAATACAGAAAAGATCAATTGATAGGAGCAACTATGACGCCCCTGCCATGGTGATAAGATCAACAACAACAATAGCATCAAAAGCAAACTTGATATTGACATACTGTGATAACCAATGATGTGCCATCCTTAAGTATAGAGATCTATGATTATGTATATATAATAAAACAGATCAAATATTGACATACAGTAAATATGTCAACTAAATGGAACAACTTTACCTCCACTTACAATAGAACAGTATTCAACAGTAATAGCATATAGTTAATTATCTACAGATTCATAAAGTTTAATGGTTTTGTTAGTAAGGATAGAGGATATGGGAAATGGAAGCACAAGAAAAATAAAATTTGAAAAATTAAGCAATAGAAAATGAGATGATAGGGCCAGGGATTTAGCTCAGTGGTTCGGTGGCCTGCCTTGCAAGCGCAAGGACCCGAGTTCAATCCCTGGTATCAAAACAAAACAAAACAAAAAATACACCACAAAAAAAAAGAAAATGAGATGGTAAAAAATGAAGGATCCTATTAAGCAAATGGATAGTATTAGGTAAAAGTAAAAGAAAAGAACAAACAAGAAAAAGATAAAAACAGACAGAAGATTGGGAAAAAAAAAGAAAGCAAAAGTAATCACAGGAGAAATTAAATGAGGGAGAAGGGGGAAGACCAAAACAAAAAAGAAAGGGAAACAAAAATAGGATAAAAAAACCTCCAAATGATACCTCAGAGAGCTGGGACTAGAGGTTCCATTTGAACCAGCCATCCCTCTGCTCGGTATCTTTCCAAAAGAATTAAAGGAATCATACCACAGTGATATATGCACACCAATGTTTATAGTGGCACAGTTTGTAATAGCTAAAACTTGGAAACAGCCCATTTGCCTTTCAGTTGGAAACTGGATAAAGAAGATGTGGTTTTTCTATAAAAAGGAATACTACTCAGAAATAAAGAATGAGAAATTAGAGTCATTCATAGGAAAATGGATACATACTGAGGATATACTCTTAAGTGAAATAAATGTCACACATGTGTAAATACTGAGTAGTTTCTCTGGTATGAAAAACTATAATAGTACACAAGATCCTAATGGGATAATTAATAGTGTGAAATAAGAAGAAATGGGCTAAAGGTGTAGGGAAAGTGGGAAGGGTAAGGAAAAGGGAATAAGGGAAAAGAAAAAAAATATAAGAAAATGAAAAAATGGAACTAAAGCATTTGTAAATGGGGAGGGGAGGAGCGGGTGAAGGGAGGGCAGGGACAAGGGGAATAAATGAGAACCAAGACCTGTCATGTGAAGGTACAGGATCCCAGTAATGAATGTAACTGTATTGTAGACCTAGACTGTACCAGTAAACTCGATAAAAAGAAAAAACAACAACAACAAAAAAAAAAAACCCTCCAAACACCACCTTAATTAATTAATTTAATTAAAAGAGAAAAAAATGGGTCAAATTTTTTTTCCTCTGTATTTCCAAATGGGTGGTTCCCTTCTAGGACCTACAGTCTTGGAATTCAGCAAGTCATTGTCCTATCTGTCCAGCATTATAGTCTGAATTTGTAAAGTGCCCCATTTTCTAGAAACCCCTCCACCCATAAACCCTACACCATGGCAACTTTCCAAGCAAAGGCACACCACTGCTCACGTTGGCAAACAGGGATGTAATGAGACTACCAGTCTCTGCTGGATGTAGGCAGAAGGACAGGGGAGCTCTAGCAAACTGTTGGAGTCAGCATCATCACCTTCAGGACCAGCCACACCTGCCAAGCCGAGCCTTCCACCACAGAGTGAAGGGCCCCATGTCCTTATGAGCCTGAGCATGAACTTCTCAGGAGATCCATGTCTATTCCTCACCCTCTCCTGTCTGTTTCCTGTGGCTGTTGCTCATACTATGTTAGGGTAACATTGAAAGTCCTGGGATAAAGCTGTCGTGAAGTTGTTCTGTAGTTCAGTCCCACACAGTCGACCTCTTCCCAAAATTGCACCCAATGAAACTACCTGTAACAATATGGTGGGCTCTGCACTGCATTTCTTCTCCAGCTTATCCCTCTATGAAGAATTCACTCACGGTAAAACACCACTCTATTTTTGTAGTTTACAACAGCCATGGCCTTTCCGTGGGGCTATGGCTGCTGGGCCCCCCTGTTGTTTCTCCCCGAAGCTGCTGACTCTTTGGGGCTCGCCTTCTTTCTTGGGTCACTGGCCTCATCCACAATCAGGTCAGTTGGTTGGTCCCCAGCTCTGTGGTCCTGTGCTGAGGAGTACCAAAGTGCAGAGCTGGCTAGGAGTTGGCAGTTTGACACACCCGGGGTGCAGGGTTGGCTGGAGTAGCTGCCCTGCTCCTCCTGTTGTGCTGCCATGGACCCTCCTTCCTTTCTTATACCAGCAAGAATCCTGGGTAACAAATAATCCTGTTTCTAATAACCACAACTAACACTAAATTTTGCCTAAAAATAATCAGCAACATTACAAAAGGAAAATAACCATTTTTCATATTTTAAAATTCTACCATCCAAGGATAATTTTAATTTAAAATAACTGAACAAGGGCCGGGGATTTAGCTCAGTGGTTCCTTCGCCTGCCTCGTGAGCACAAGGACTCCAGTTCGATCCCCAGTACCAAAATCTAAAATAAAATACAGTAACTGAACAGCCTGGTTTGTTGGAACACACCTGTCCTCCCATCATCCTGGGAGGCTGAGGCAAAAATATCAAAAGTTCAAGCCCAGGCTGGGCAACTCGTCTTCTCCATAAAACATTGTTAAATACTCTGGCGATACAGTTCAGTGTGAAGGCTCTGAGTTCACTACCCAGTACTGCTAAGTAAATAAATAAATAGGAGAGACAGAAACATTGAAATAAATTCGTAATAACAACTAGCACTTGGAGGCAATGGCCTCTCTTTGCCTGCTGAATAACGCACCGTTTCATCAACGCGTAGTTCTCTTTCTCTGGGCTATTTGGTTTCACACAATCAAGTAAATAAGGATTATTCGTGGGTTTAGAGTCCCCTGGGGAATTATATTTTAATAGGAAGAATTACTGGAAATAATTAAAATGTTCTCCCACTACTCAGCAGAATAGGAGTTGGCAATATTAACACAGAGGAGTGTGTGCGCATGTTCGTCCATAAGTGCTGTGTCTCGATCATACTGGGTAACAAGGAAGCGTCCCAGCAGGCACTGGAGAGTGATGCAAAGGGAGTGAATATCTGTGACATATGTATTCATTTTTACATTTTTTAAAGAAAAATATTGAATCCTGTAGAAAATAAGCTCAATGTCATTTGCTTTCTTTGGTTCCAAATGTTGTGTACTTTTGAATTTCACGTACTTCCCTGACAGATAGAAATAGTTTTCGTTAGGTAACTAAAGCCATTCGGGTGGTCTTTCTTTTCCTGCTTGCTGCTGAGTGCAGTGGAGCCGGTTTGCTAACCCTCGCTGGTGCTCATGCGGGCTCTCTTTGTGCCTTTGTCCTTGCAGAATGGCCGACCTGCAGGGGCTGGTGGAGAGATTGGAGCGCGCGGTCAGCCGGCTGGAGCACCTGTCCGCGGAGTCGCACAGGCTTCCTGGGGGCTGTGGGGAAGTGAACGGTGTCAGCGGAGGTAGGACCACACTGCTGTCGTCTCTCTGTCTGTGAGGGTGCGCTTCGTGTAGTTCTCCGGAACCTGACCACCTACTGCCAGCTTCTTTTCTCCTTCCTTGATTTGTGACCAGAACATTAATCAGAGGCGAGCAGTTTCTGGAAAAGACAAAGAAAAAGATAAGCTTTCGTCCTTTGGAAATATTGTACACATTTTATGCACCAATTTAAAAAACTAAGATTTTTTTTTAAAGTTTCATCCCACACTCACAAAAGTCACCAACATCTGCGCCCCTTAAGAACGTCATCCAGCTACCCGATGTCATTATTCCTTCTTTCTAGTGTTTCGACTGCTGTTCCAACACTCAAGGGCTAAATATATTATCTAAGTAATTATCAAAAAAGAGAAACAATTGCTCTCAATTAGAATGTAAACTGGAAGGAATTATTGTGTAGATTTAATTTTCAGGGCAAACCATTGCATTTAGGCTCTGAAGGAAGCTATGACGGATGTGAAGCCTGCTATGATGGAAACCTCAGGGCCACACCACTGTTTACGTTTGCCTGCTCCCAACGAGATGCACTCTTTACACCACGGCCGTAATGCTAATCTTAATGATTTTTAAATTATAGGATCAAAATTAAAGAGTACTTCCTTTAAGAGGGTACCTTTTATGGCAGACTCTCCAAGTTATCTACAATAACTTTTCCAACTCCTTCTTGCCTAAGGTTGCAGTTTAACAAATAAAAATACAGGACAACAGCTACACTGGAGTTTCAGATAAAGAACAATTTGGAGTTTGGGGTTTGGGGTTTTTTTTTTTAATGTGTCCCAAATATTACACAGGCTCTACTGCAGGGTATACTTACACTAAAAATCTATTTGTTGCTTCTCTGAAATTCAAATTCAGCTGGGCAATCTGTATTTAATATGGCAATTTTATTTTTGTCCCACATTGGTCTCCTCCTTATCTCATCTGTTTTGAATCCTGTTAGGTTTCTTGCGTGGGGTTGTGGGGGACTGAGAAAGCCTTGGGGAAAAGGAGACTTCAAAATTGTTTTACCCAGGAAAGACCTACATCGGAGCCATGCCTTGCACAACACGCCATGGGACAGAGGTTACTGTGTGAGCACAAATGTGCTGGCTGTGTCTTTCCCCCCTGAACATAATGAAAATTAAAATGCTTTGAATGAATTGAAAGGCAGTGCTGTTTAAAGGAACGCTGCCAGGGCCCTGTTTAAGTTTTTTCGCAGTGACTGAGACTCATCTATGATTTCATTTTAAGCCTCTTTTCATTAACTGTACAGCTGGTATATGAGACTGGTAAACCTGATTGGTAAGAAAGAAATTTCATGTTCTTCCCAGTAACTTTGTTTCTTTATGCCATTGGCATCAAGTGATTACAGACATTACCAAAAGATTGCTGACCAAACCTGTAAAACCTGTCAATACACAAGAAAGTTAAAATCCAGCTGCCATGAGAATTACATCATATTGTTGAGTAAATAAAAAAATCATGAATACAAATTTAAACCTCACATATCCAGAAGGGTAATAGACTGAACTTTTTATTTTCTTTATTAAAGGGAAACTTTTCTGTGAAAATTAGTAGGCTAAGTAAAATAGGAAGATATATAATTAAATCATTTGATATTTAAACAAATAATTTCTAATATAGCAAATCATTTCAAAGCAATTGTTAAAGCAGAGGTCTGAAACAACTCAGCTGGAAATTTATTATCCTACTTTAAATGAAATAGAGAAATACGTAGGGTCATTTGTAAGATGTCTGAATGATATCCATCCTTAAAACATTTTACTAATTCTAAACAACATTATCTCTATTTCTTCTTAAGTAGTGACTTTTGGTAGATTTCTAAATTTCATTGTTGATATATTCTTAAGAACAACCTTTCACCTTAAATACAAACATCATTATGATGTGGGGAACTGCACTCCAACATTCAGGTGAGTTCAGCCCAACAGTTGAAGAGATGATTCTTCTTTCTTGCCAAGTGACAAGCACTGTGGTAGGAGATCTCAGATGAATTATACACCGCTCTAATCCTCCAGAATCTTTGGTCTAGAAGCATTACTCTTCATAGCCACAAATGCTTTCGTTAAGAGGTGCTCAAAGCATGTTGGTTGGCTGGGGAAGGACAGATCATTCGGCAAAGTCTGCCCAGCGAAGGTAAACGGAGAGCAGTGATGAAAACAGACCAGGAAATACTCCCTTTTATTGTTGTACCTTCTGCTGTGTAGGGGCCTCAGCCACATTTCTAAAACTTTCACCCACTTTAGTCAACAGAGACCTCTTGGCCTCTCCCATAGCAATAGATAGCTTTGTTTGTCTGTTTCCGTAAGGGCCCTGAAGAAATCTTTGGGCTCATGCCTTGTTGTACAAGTTGGTACACATTGAGTTTGAAGTTTAGGACAACTTGGCTGTGGACATCCGCTTGGAAGTTTGATGGTAGGAGCAGAGAGCTGTAAATAAGTTTCTATCACCCTTTGGGCCTTTGGAAATGGGCAACTGGAAAAAAGAGAAAAGGAAGAAAGTTTTATCCTATAGTTCTGTGAACCTGGATGACTGTACAATAAAAAAAAGGGTGTGCTAGGCTTTGAATTGGATTTTTTAATAGCCTATAGTGCTGAGGATCTCTATTAGGGACTTCGATTTCTTTTTTTTTTTGATTAGTTCAAAAGCAAGGAGAGAAACATAACACATTGGTAAATTGGCAGATCCAACCTTAGGTGCATGAGCTCAGCGGGGATTCTCATTCCCACCGTGGTTATCTCTCCTCCCTGTGGGAAGTGAAGAAGCAACAAAATGAGTGAAATCAGTGTTCGTTGCCCAGAGTTCATTCCACTTTTTTGTTGCCCTGGAACTCTTGGTACAGTTGGTAAGGGTGATGTGGCACCTGGGCAGGTGGAGAGAGCAAGAAAGTGCAGGGGCTTTGGACGAATCCAGCTCAGTTCAGGTTTGCATCTGCCTTTTGTGTGATCTGTCACTCTGGCCCATCGCCTGCTCTCTTTGCACCCCCATCTCTTCACCCATCCCACGGTGATGACAGCGTTTCCCCTGTAGGCTTGGGAGACTGGAGTGAAATGATGTGCGTGAACCACGACGTCCTGAGCCGAGGAGAAGCGCTCGGCATTGATGGGGTGAAGGAGTGGCTTCGTGGTGGAACTAGCAACAGTGACAAAGATGACAGTGAATATCCATGCTACCTATGCAAGATGGTCCCAGCTTTTCAGTAAACTGCCAGGGAATAACAAAGTGTCCCTCTTCCCAAGGTGTGGCACCGTCCGTGGAAGCCTTTGACAAGCTGATGAACAGCATGGTGGCAGAGTTTTTAAGGAACAGCAGGACCCTAGCTGGCGACGTGGAGACTCATGTGAGTACTTTCCTCCCCTGCTCTCTGTGGAGAGCTCTCGGCGTCCAGCCCAGCCTCTGGCACGCTGGTGAGCTAAAACTCTCATGTAGGTACTGATCATGCCCACAGCGTCCTCTGATGGCGTGTTGCTAGTGCTGTTCCTAAAGCTGGGGGTCAGGGATGAAAAGGACAGGTCTCAGAACTTTCACTTTACTCCTGGACACAGACAACGTAGGTAGCACATAAACCTATTCGGGTAGTATAGATAGGAAAAAAAAAAAGAAAGAAAGCAGAGTAATAACACCAAAAGTCCCCATAACAAGGATACTCTTATGGGAAGGTGCTTCTGGGAAGGTGACATTTGTGCAGAGGTGGAGTATGGAGTGAGTGAGGGGAGAGGTCTGGACAGAGGAGTCGGTCCAGGCTGAGGCCCAACGATAGGGCAGGGTGGCATGGCCTCAGTCACGGCCAGTGACGCGGCTCTTGCTTCAGTGTGATGCGAAGCCACGAAGGGACTGAGCAGAGTACTCGGGTGACTTAGGTTGAGCTTTAAAAAGACCCCTGTCAGCAGCCACCTGTCCCCTTTCCTTGAAGTACAGGCAGAGCCTGCCACCTCATGTCCCGTAGGATGGCTACTATCAGAAAGACCTAGAGGATAACAAGTGTTGGTGAGGAAGTGGAGGAATAGGAAACTTTGTGCACTGTTGGTGAATATAAAATAGTGCAACCGTTACGGGAAAATGCATGGAAGTTGCTTACAACCTGACCGTAGAACTACAGCATGCTTCGGCAGTCTCACTTCTGGGTCTGTCTCCAGAGCACTGAAATCAGGGTGTGGAGAGATGTCTGTATTCCCCTGTTCATACAAGCGTTATTCATAGGAGCCAAGATATAAAAGTAACCTGGTATCCACTGACAGATGAATGGATAAAGGAAATGTGGTACATAGACAAAACGGAATATTCAGCTTTGAAAATGAAAAATAATCGTTATATGCTATGAAGTGGAAGACTCTGAGGACATTATGTTAAGGCAGATAAGACAGATGCGAAAGATGAAGGCTGTGTGATTCCACTCATACGAAGTATTTAGTAGTCAAATTCCTAGAGACAAAGTAGGGTTATGTTACCATAGGCTGAGGGAGGAAGGAAATGGGAAGTTCTTCTTGAATCAGTGTGGTTTCATTTTTTGCAAGAGGAAAAGAAATTCCCAAAATGGTGCAACAGTGCGAAAATACTTAACACTACTGAGTCATACATTTTAAAATGATAAGACTTGGGTGTAGTGGTGCATGCTAATCCCAGCTTTGTGGGAGGCTAAGGCAGGAGGGTCGCATGTTCGAGCCCAGCTGAGGCAACTTGGTGATCTATGAGTTCCTGTCTCAAATTTTTAAAAAATGGGCTGGGGATGGAGCTCAGTGTGAAGGCCCTGGATTCATTCTCCAGGGCGGAGTGGGGGCATTAAGATGATAAGTTTTGTCATGTGTATCTTACCCTAATTACAAAAATAATACTGAGGAAAGTGAAATCATAGAAAGAATTCAGGAATTCTTGTATTGAAAAAAACATTTAAAGATATCTAGGGCAATTTCCCACTTGTAGACACTTTTTATATGGCTAAAAATGTTAGCATCATGCCTGCGGTTGGTCATGGTTTGTGCGCATTTAACAGGAGTCTAATAAGCCCAAACAAATTGAAAATTTTAAAAGAAATTTATCATCAAGTTCTTCTTTTTCACTAGCCTTTGTTGTCACACAGGAGTGAATTCCAAGACCATATGCCTATAGATTTTTCACCAATGGCACAATCCTGGCAAAACTGTTTTCAGCATAGATTCACAGAAAATCTGATTCTTGAAGAAAGTTGTGGTTTGAGATTCAGAGAAAAGCATCAAAAAGGATTCTTTCTTTGCTCCTTCCTAGTTAAGACATCACTGCAGTACCCTGTGCCATTTTTCTGTGCATCCGGACTCTGTGATAGAATATTCAGATGGTTGGCTCAGTCACATTGCAGCGTATTTATTTGCCACATCTCCCAAGAAAAAGAATGTCCTTTTTATTACCTCTATTTTTACTAAATAAGGTATTTAATCATAGATGATAGTGAATGTGTAAAAAAATATTATAGTAAAAGACACATCGCCATTTATGGCAACTTCTGTTAAATAAAAACTTTATGGTGTGTCATCTCCCTTCTTCACTGGATCCGGCACTGTGTAACTTCTGGCTCTTCCTCAAAGTCAGTATAACCATGAAAGGTAAACATTTTGAATCAGTTCTAGACAACAAGGCAGCCACGACAGCTCAAGTAAAGACACTCGTGTAAAAGAGCTCCCAGAACTGCTTCTGAAAGTGTCAAGCACAGTGGGATAAGTGTGTTTGAGGCGAGGGGGAGGAGTTTTCAGGGGCTTAATGGCAATGTGTCCCTTACTGTGATATATATGTATATATATATATATATTTTTTTTAAATGTGAAGCATTCACTGTATTTTTTTACCACACTTTTGTACTCGTATTAAAAGCACCCAGTGAAGAAAGAGAAAAGACACTCTGTACTTGAGTTCCAGAAAAGTCTATGGACTAAGACTGTGCTTCCCACCTCTCACACAGCTCTGTCATTGACGTGATCTGCTCCTTTCCTGAAATTCTGAGGGGTGACCGCACCCGAAAGGAAACACACAAAGGAGTGCTACCCTCCATACACAAAGAAAGATGCTTGAGTGATTGCTGAACACTTGCTCTCCTAAACGAGATCACGATAATTACTGGATCATATGGTTACCGTTAATTAATGTTGACGTTATGCTTCTGGGCTACGCAGTACGTTGTGACTCTTATTACTAGTATCTCACAAAATTTAGAGAGAAGCTTTTAACTAGAGGATAAGGAGGCCCATAAAAATGGACTTATGTTTGCATTTAAAAAGAAAAAGGTAGGATTTGCATCCTAAGTCTTCAGGTTGCATGGTAAACAGTCCCTTTGGATTCTTTTTAGCACAGAGCGAGCTAGCTATAAAGCGTAACTTAATCTACATTACGTTTTTTCTTTCTCCTCATTCATCACTCTATAAGCAGTATGACTGCAATGAAAGAATATTCTCAATAACAAATATATGATTCTTAAGGAAATTTATGTGTGCTATTAGATGTTTTAAAAGCAGGCAAAGAAGAAAAAAAGGAAGGGGGAGGAAGGAAGAAGGGAGAAAAGGAAAGAAGAAAGGAGAAGGGAGGGGAAGGAAGGACAGAGAAAGAAAGAAAAAAAGAGAGAAACACTTGTCCTCTGAAAACGTAGACCCTGGCTCCATGGTACAAAGAAAAGCACAGGCAGCTATAGTCCATCTGCCTGTTGCTTTAATACTCTGAACAGTTGTTTATTTTTTGTCTCTTACAGAACCATGTGTCATTCACATTAAGCTTGCAGCTGCTGCCTCTCACATAAGCCAGAAGTGGGGTTGGAACTTTGTCCCAGGAACACACCTGTTGCCTAGAAAAAACCCTCACATACCTGATTGTACAGTATGGAAATCTGAGAATGACACAAATGTGCATCATGTTAAATCCTGTCCGTGTGTTTAAAAGCCATTTCACAGATACTAATAATGAATAAGGGCAGCCCGGCTATGGTTTAACGTCTGTCTCGATGCGTTGGCTGCTGACTGGGCCTCATTTACTGAACACTCAATAGTCTATTGACAGAACAGACCACAAAAAGGGGGAACTAATAGCTACAATTAGGAAGCTCTGCTGAACCGAGGAGCAAAACAGGTTTAGAGAAGATTAGATCTTGTAAAGCCTTCTTGTGCGCAACATAAACCAAAGGGCTCATTTAAATTACTCTTCAACCCAACACTGACACAGCTTGCACCTCTTTAAAAAAAAAGACTAAACAATGCCTAATGTTATAATGGGTGTTTCGAGTAAATACAGTCCTCAGTATTAAAGGGAAGAATCCTCTAAAAACGGGACCTACATGATACCAAGCCCTTGGTTGAACATTTTTTATCCATAAATGAGTAAAAAACAAAAGTAATGTGATTTATATGGTTTGGTTTTGTTTTTTTAACAAAGCTCTTCTTTTGTTATTCCTGGTACGTGGAACTAATCGCAGGTCCATTTCTAGGTGATTTAACAGTTAGGAAGAAACTTCAAATCATAGCTCTCCCTAACCTGACATTTTTTTGAAGATTTACAGATTTTGCATTTGAAGTGTTTCTAGGAGTCTGAAATGTTTATTTCCCCTTCTTGACTAAAATGGATTTCTAAAAATGTATTAATTGTTTAATAAAGATGAGAGAGCCACCGTTTGAACAAAAAATAAATAAAATTCACGTAATCTTAGTGCCCATTAGCATATGATTAAATCACACACTGTACAATATTATGTCCTGTGTCCCTTGACTTTTAAAGGACGAACACTTTCATATGATTATTAGTTTCACTTTTGAGGACTCACAATCTCTAAATGTTCCTAGCCTTTTCTATCTACTTAAGTCATCTGCAAAATGTTTTGTTCATTTTCTGCCATGCTAGTTAGGCGATGCAGTCCAAGGATGGGAAAGTGAGCAGCCATTCTTGCTGCGACCAGCACCAACCTGTCTACCTCTGGGTTTCAGAGCTGGCCCTGGTCCCTTCACCTGCTCAGTCCAAGGGTCTCTGCTCTCACGGCATGAGCAAGTGACGCCTCAGTTGGCTACGTCTTGAAGCAGTAGTAGTAACACAGCTTCCCAATGAAGACCCTGTGATGAGATGTCTGTCACCATTGTGAAATGCAACCCGCACCATGCCAAGATTGACAGGATGGAAGAACATTACTCTCTTGAGCTTAATCACAACAGTTATCGTATCATTACTGTTACAGTGATGAATGTTGACATTATGCCCCGGGAGAGGCAAGCAGAAGTCATGGCAGAAAAGGACGCACAGAAATAAAATACTGCCGTGCACAGAAATAAAATACTGCCATATAGAAGCAGTCTGACCCCTTCAATCCAGAAGATCCACTGTGCTCCGTGTGCTGCTTTT